ATTCATATAACGCATGCTCGCTCCTAACCACCCCCACTCAAATTATAAGCTTTCTTCTACTTTCTAATACGGCAGCTTTGTCTACGTAATGATAAATCTAATCAATGATTGTAATAAAAAAACCCTTAATTATAAATGAATAAATTAGTCTAGTAGGTTTTCTTCGTTGGTTTTTCCTACTGTAATCAATTTTGATTATTCTTTTGTTTCAGATTCAGACGTTATAAGATGACTCACCTATACGATTACCCGACGCTCTCATGTATTAGAAGAATACATTGGACCAAGTCAGGCCTAAGTGCCGTGGGGAAAACTACTCTTCAAAAATGTTACAGATACAGATGTGGCGATTGAAACAATCATTTTAGATTTACTTCAAGAAAAAAGATGGTGTTTTGATTAACAGACGTTTTAGATATGGAAGCAGTTAAAATAAAATATTTATCAAATATTGATGAAAACATTTAAAAAAATAATTAGATTTAAGATAATAAAAAGGCAGCTGAAATATTACCTGCATTAAGTTTGTAAAAAAAACTAAATTGCCCAAGCGCAGCTGTTGTACAGAAAGTAATTGAATTTGTAATTATATTAGTTGTATAATAAATAATCATGTCGGTCCAAATAAGTAAATACATTTTTCCTACGACTGTTGTACAAAATTGCTCTTTTCTCACAGGAACATAAATTTCAAAATTTCTCATATTTTTAGAAATAATTTTACATGGTTCCCATCTTAAATAAATCCAAAACAAAAGACTTAGATAACATTTTTATTTATTTGAAAATACTGTAAAAAATATTTAACTCTGCCTTATTAAAATTGTACTATAATAACATAATTAGAAGGATCTCAACATTGTGTTTATTGCTCCTAGGAATTGTGAGATATAAAAAGAAAGCATCCTCGCGAAATATTTATGTAAACTCAATCAAATATTACCTGTTTTAAGTTTGCAACAAAAATTTAAAAATTACTCCAGCTCATTATTGTATAAAAAATAATTGATTTTGTAAATATATTATAATAACCTTATCGTGTCCGTTTTAATAAGTAGAATATATTTTTTCTACGATTGTTGTACAAAATTGCTTTTTTCTCACAGCCTACTTGTATTAAAAGTTTTAAATTTCTCACTAAGATAATTTTCCGTCGAATGATCACATATAAATATATTAAACATCTATGTATATACAAATTTTCTGTTTTTATTTTAATTATTTTTTAAATTGGTTTAAAGTTTGGTCCTCTAAAATTTTCCAATTTTAGAAAACATGTATTTGAATTTTTCTATTTATTTTTGTTAATCTTACCACTTTTGCATTTTAAATTTGATTTTTTATCCATGCAATTACACCGTTTTGGTTTATATGAAAAAAGAATAATAAATAAATAAATAAAATAAAAATAATGTCATGTCATGTTATTTATAAATACCCTTTCATGAACGAAAGAAATTTGAAACCAGAAAATTGTTATGATTAAATAAGTTGAAAGTAAATAAATAAAAGTCAGTTCCCTGGGAATAATAATTATTTACAATTTCATCTTACCTTTAAATAACGAAGAGATCAGCTTCAAATAAATCCCGAAACCAAATACAACCACTTGATTTAACCACAACCACATCTTATTTTAATATCACTTTCACTAGCAACTCTTTAAAATAATTGACTTTTTCACATACGAGTACATCCAATCGAAACACTAACACACATCTCATTTTAATCTCACTTTCACTAACGATTCTTTAAAATCACGAACTTTCTCACTAATCTTCAATCTAAGCACTAACCCACATCTAATTTTAATTTCACTTTCACTGGCACTAATCTTTAAAACGAGGAACCAGTTAACTGACACTCGTAAACATGTAAAGCACGACCTCTCACTCGACACAGGTACATCCGAAAACATTATTTGATTTTCCTTGTGGAAAATATCTGCAGGAAAACGAGGATTTTCATGGAAATTGATAGTTGGACGACAAACGAGTTCTAGAGGCCGACTGACCTACTTTTGCAAGTTGCATCCTGTCACTAGGTGGTGAAAATGCAGTTATATACGCGCATAGTTGAGATGCACTGATAGTTTTGCCAACCGCAAATGCAGAAGGGATGCGAAATTTATGAAATTTTCGTGTGTTTTAAAAAGAACGCGCTTTTATTCGATCGAAAGAAAACAAGTAAATATTACAATCAAATGTAGGAGTTCTTAAAATCCAAGATTTTTTAACCCGAGGGGTAAACCACTAAGGTTAAAATGTACTTGTTTTTTGGAATCCACCAACAATTCTTATGATTTCGGCGATTTAGCCGAAATATTTCATAATTGTTTACGATATCGATGATTTCGCCGAAATCACCCATACTTCTAGGCCTATATGATTTCGGTGATTTCGCCGAAATAATGGTTTCGGTAATTTCACGGCAATCATATTTTCCAACGAATTAACTTTATTATTGTAACCTTTTGAAATTTTAGATAAATTGAAATGTTTTAAAATTAGATTAGAGGATTACCTACTCAGTTATATAGGGTCTTCAACAATATCCTTATCCCACATGATCTGGTAACCTTACAAAAGCAACGAAAGTGCCTGATTTTACGTTAACTGAGTTTATATATTTGTCAGAGATGTCATTGGCTTTCATTTACGTGTTCATACAGTCATACAGTATTAGCATTAAAAATACACCCTTTGGGGAACATGGATTAGACCAAATTTCTACACCCACATGGATATTAGCTTTTCTACGCACAGACTACAAAACGAAAAAGTACGCTGTTGCGTTCAACTGAATGAATATATTTCATATCCATTCTAGGTAGTGAGAATATTGCAAAAAAATTTAATTCACCAAACACAGTTTATAATTTGGTAACCCGAAGAATATTATTATTAAAATTTTAAATAAGTGACAATTCTGTCAGACGGCGTAGTACTCAAACTTCGTATTCGTGCTATATGGCCATCATTTTCACTCCAGTTGCACAAACTACTATTTTCTTATTGGTTTTCAAGGGTATTTAATAGGGCTCGGAATTTTTCAGATATTTGTATTCGAATATTCGTTTGAAACTTTATTCGAATGCCCAAATTATTTACTATTCGAGTATTTCTAAGTATTCGAATATTCAACTATTCGAATATTCGACTATTCGTACGTTTGAGTATTCGACTATTCGAATATTCGAATATTCGACTATTCGAATATTCGAGTATTCGACTATTCGAATATTTGAATATTCGACTATTCGACTATTCGACTATTCGAAAATTTGAGTATTTGAATATTCGAGTAGGTATACGGGTATTCGAATATTCGAATGTTCGAGCATTTGATTATTTGATTAATGTATAATTCATAACTGTTTGTTTTGGTATGGTGCTTAGTTCTTAATTGATTCCATAAATTACTGGTATTACTTATGTGTATGACATTGTAAGTACATAATTTACACTATACACAATTTTCTTTTTTATCGAAGTAAAGCCAAATCTTACTGCGTTCTGAACTCATATTTAACACCTGTAGCGGGCAAGCGTTTACAGACATACACACACTAATAGGAATAAAATACCTAGTAAATTATAAGTTAACAAACATAAAAAAGCGTGTGAAAAGTGCGAATGTGAAACAACGTTGGGTTCCTCTCATTTACCAAATAAACCGCCAGCGCTACAAGGAAATAAATAAATACAATGTTGCCGTAACGTAATAGTTCCGAATCCCATCCCAAGTCAGAATTTTGTTAGTCGTTGTTCTTCTGCCTTTATTTTTAAGCAATAGATAAAAAAGACACATTTAAATTAGGTATATAAATAAATTCAAAATATATATCCGAATATTTGGACATTTACAGTATTCCGATATTTAAGTATTCGAATAGTCGAATATTCGAGTATCGAATACCTAGTTCACTTAGTTTAATATTCGAATATCGAGTATTCGAATATTGAGTATTCGAATATTCAACTATTCGAATATTCGACTATTCGACTATTCGACTATTCGAATATTCGAATATTCGACTATTCGAATAATGTCGATCTAAAAATATCGAATTTTGAGTATTCGAATATTCGAATTATCGAATTAACCGAATACAATTCCGAGCCCTAGTATTTAATAGTGTAACAAAATAGGGGTAACTTTAATGAAATTTACAAATATTAGCCGACTTTGGGCGCTCGCCATTACCTTAATTGTCAAGCTATCGAGTCGAATAAAAAATCTATTGTAAAATGTATTTATTGAGATATAATACAGTTTTTGAAAGATTTCAATATGAACACCTGATTGGCCTATAGCGCTCGTGAAATGAAAGCAGTGCAAAACTAGATTGGTCTTCAACGACAAGACATGCTTCTCTTTAAAACGCTCTAGAGGTTCTACTATATATACTAGAGTAATCGCTCATTTGAATTTTATCATAAACAGTCTCTAGTTAATGACTAGATAATATATATATTTTAAAACACTTGAAATGAATTAAAAGGGGACTAAGATACCAATTTGTAACCTTATTCTCTTTTTTTTTTATAGGTAATCCCTGTCCTGAACGATTTATTGCTTGGGCTAAAAGTATTGTTTTAATTTTTGCACTAGGGCAAGATGATCCAAACATAGGTAATTATCTGGCTGAATGATACTCCTTTTTAATCAGTTACTATTCAAAATGTTTTGATAATAATTTTTTACTATTCTATAAAAAGCAGGTACCACATACTTTTTATATTTCTTTACTTATTTAAAACATTTTTTTGGTAAAGGCTCTACTTTGTTAAGCAACTCCCCTCCTCTAGCATTGACATCCATCGTTAAATATTACAGTTGTGTTTACTTACCATTGTATTAAATATTTTCCACAAATAATGAGTCTTAAAGTTTTCCATGAACATTTTTTATTTAAAATAAACTACCTATATGTACTTTAAACACATTATAATTAAACTATTTTATTTTTTATTTACAATTATAAGAAAAATCTTATGTCTGTCATCCCAATTTGTCCTTAACAGTGTCCCAACCATCTTTAACTGTCTCACCTACGGTATTTCCAAAATTTTTAATTCCAGATCCAATACCATTGAAAAAATCTTTCTGAAAATTAAAATTAATTATTTTTTCTGGGATCATGAATTCAGATAGGCTGTAAGATGAAAATAGGAAAAATTAATTTTTTTAATCAATACTAAGCATAAAAACAAATCATCTAAAATATTATAAACAATACTTGGAAAGGAAAATAGGAAATCTATTTCCATTATCAATTTGATTGCTACTGTATCTCAATTTCAAACCTGTGATAACAAAAAAGCATACACCACTAATAGACTACCTAATTAACAGATCAGTAATCTTTAATGCAACGGTTCTAAAACTGTGGTACGCTTATTACCTGTGGTACGTAAGGCCTCTAAAGGTGATACGCGAGCAGATATTAGACGTTATGTACTTGTCTTCAAAACAAATAAATATTGACTAAAGTTTATTGAAAATCTCTTTTCTCGCATTTTATACTGTGAATATGACAATACTGTTACTGGTGTTGACGGGGATTCCAGGCTTCATTTAAGAGAAATGTATGTTTGTTTAGTACAGCTACGGTTTGTTAGGACAGTGCGCGACGTTCGATGTACGCATACGACAGAATCTGTCGCGTTAGACTCTCGTCAGTTTTAGTAAAAGTGGTTTGTTAGGATATAAATCAGTTCTGTTAATGCATGCTGGTAAAATGGAATTCCCATGAATTAAATAACGCGTTAGTAGCTATTATTTTAATGGAAGAAGAAGATGAATTGTTAGTAATGGCCAAAATAAAGTATTATTTTTAAATATATTTGAAACTTTTGCGTTTTACTTGTTAAAGTGTGGGATGCTTCTTTACCATATAAATTAAGGTCTCTTCCTCTTCAGAAGGAATTTTCAGAGATATTTGATCAAAGATAATACCACGAGTCCTTAAAATTTTATCAATAAAATTTTTAGTTTTCACAAAAACGTTTTTATTTGGAAAAGCCACGAAAACAATATATTTGTATCTTCGGTTTTTACGGACTAATGATAGTTCAAACTATTACGCTTTTAATGCAGTTATTATTATTATTATTATTTGCCGTGGCGCTCCGTGGCGACTTAAAGATGAATGATGGTGTCATTTAACTTATAGGTGAGGAAAACACGAAAAACCACACCCACCATCATAATCTTAAACTATAAACAACTTAAGTAAAATTTTAATCGGAGATAGGTTTGTTCTGCAACAATGAATATTACAGAATATACCGACCGCTCATGGGGATAAGATAGTTTTGTTTAAAATAGAAGTACTCGATATCCAGCTTCGTGCGCTAATTATGTTTAGCATAAATTAAAAAAAGTGTTTTTATGCTTCTATTATTTATACGATTATATTATGGTATGGTATGATTTTAAACCAGTGTTACCAGATCTCCTGTTTTAAAAGGAGATCTCCTATTTTCACTCTCAATCTCCTGTTCTACTGTTTTGACTATGAAATCTACTGTCGGATTTGGGTAAGTCGTCCTTGAACTAAAATCGAAGTTCGGTTACAACGTCTCTAAAGTTCTAGGTGGTTCTGGTGTTAAACTGGAATTTAAAGATGGATATTAGCAAATCTGTAATTTACGGATTTGTTACTACCCATCTCTAAATTCACGTGATATAACCGAACTTCGATTTTCGTTCAAGGACGATTTACCCAAGTCCGACTCAGCTGAGTTTTGTTTATAAATACGGACCTTAATTGAACTCCCTAGAGTCATATTTGTAATTTATTTTGCTTGTACTGTGTTCCTCTATTAAAAAATAAATTTATTAAAATCTCGTGTTGAAAAAAGCAATCTCCTGTTTTTTCGACTATATTCCACATACTTTGATTTTCTTTTACTATACGGAGAAAACTCCGCCATTTTGAACCCTTATTACGTGTTGCCTACATCTTGGCGCAATATTTTTAATAGGTGCGTTTTAATCATCCGCTTCTGCTTCGGAATTGTCGGTTTTCTTGTTTTAATCTGACAGGTTAGAACGACTGAACCGACAATTCCGGAAGCAGAAGCGGATGATTAAAACGCACCTGATATTTTGCTTGCTACTGTCAATGTCAGTGAATATTATTTTTGGTGTCACAGTTTATTGCTAAAGAATCAGTTAGCTCACTCGGACCAGTTGAAAGTTCCAAAATAACATCCACTCCAGGGATACAAATTCAGGATACGCAGAAGACTGCTGTGTTATTATAGGCGGTTGTCATATATTGTATTATCTGAGTTGCGCAGTGTATAAACTGGAACATTGAGATAAAAAGTGCCGACGCAGAGTGAGCGATCTGATTCTTTAGATATAAACTGTGTCACATGGTTCAAAATGGCCGCGCCCTATGTTGGGCGAATCGGACCTCTCTCTTGCCTCGTATAGTAATCAAAGTATGTGCTTTATTCCTACTGTTGACAGAAATTTCCATCTGGCAACACCGTTTTAAATACAGTTCAGCTGCGAATAAGTGCGGATGTATGTTTAATAACATTGGTCCGTAACTAGGTCAAGTTCATTCGCGTAATAAGTGCAAACGTTTACAATCGTAATAGCTTACAAAAGTGACAATGATTACTAAATTTAATGTTTAAAGAGATAAATAGAAATAGAAATGTGTCTATAAAATAGTGTTGAAATGTGTCGAAAAAAAATAAAAAAATATAAGAACTTAATTCAAGGCCACCGTCACCAGCTGAAGCGCTATTAGCGAAAAAAGCCAAGCAATGCTTCAGGAAAAGCACGTGGAATCCATGGAAACAATAAAACAAAATCAGGCTTTGTTCAACGAGAATCAAACCAGATCTCAAAATTAATAGGTATTGTTTAATGCGTGGACCTGTGAAAAACAACAGAGACAAAAATTGGAAGTTACAGTTAATCAGATTCAAATACAAATCAAGTGACCCAACAAAAAAATTCAAACCACAGAAGGTAACTCAAAGAAGAACGAAGAAATATCCACAGAATAATACACACATGAAAAAGAACTGAGCCGTGAAACTTAGTGGATTATAGTTAGAAACACCAAGAAAAAATCCAATAGTTCGCCAGAGATCCTAACGGATAAGGTAACTAATAAACCACAAATTAAAAACATTAAACCTCCTCTAGTTATAATTAACAAACCAGAAAAATATGACGAGTTGTCAGATTACTTAATACAAAATAAAATAGAGTATCAAGCCTCCACGGTATCAGGAGGTAAGTTAGCAAGTACTAGAAATTAAAAATTAAAAAAAAACGACTTCAAAAACGTGCAGATTCCATCACCACATCTGAACCAAATTTATATGGGATCACCCCTGAGGTACCCCATTACTAACAAAAAAAGAATCATATAAATCCGACAAGCTGGTAAAGCATTATCGCTGAAACTACATAAAAAATGAAGAGTTTGAAGATTTTTTCATGGACCCAATTATTAGATTTTGACCAAAGTACCCCTGAAGTACCCCCTTTCTAACAAAAAAAGAATCATTGAAATCGGACACCGTGTTAAAGAATTATCGCTGAACATACATAAACAAAAAAAAATATTGCGACGAATTGAGAACCTCCTCCTTTTTTGAAGTCGGTTAAAAATCAATGTAGATGATCAAATTCTCTTACACAAGCGCTGAACAAAACTGAAATGGAACGGTTTTCATTTTAAAATAAACAGTTAGACCAATAAGGGTAGTTGTGAGAAAATTGTACCAGTCTTGTCAACCAGACCAAATCAAAGAGGGTCTAAAAAATAAACGGATTAAAAATATTTGAAGTAAGTCAGCTACTAAGCAGAAGAGATACAAGCCTTTAACAAAGATAAAGATATTAAAATTTATGGGAATAAGAAAATTATCTATTTGAGAGTTGCAAACAGAAGCCCACAAAAAACCTCCACTACTACCACAATGTAAAATATGCCAAGACTATGATCATACTCAAAACTACTGCAAAAGAGAACCCAGATGTGTCAAAAATGCTAAAAAATGCTCAACCCGAGATTGTTCAGTTAGAATGTGAATAGAGGTTTCGTCCTCTTCCTCACAGACATGACAATAATCTCTTTTCTCCGATAGGTTCTCTCGATGTTAAACTGGATACACTTCTCGATGGCGTGAATTTCCGCCTGGAAGATGCTTGGGTATTGTAACAAGCTTTTGAAATACTTGGTTCTAGGCCCATACACTCCTATTCCAGTTCCTTCTATGGTTTTGGAACCATTCGTATACCACTGAATAGCATGTCTTTCGGTTATGCATAGTGTGCAAGCGCGATGGATTCTTGGCTCCATTCTCTCTTGCAGCCTAGCTGTGTGGTTTTGCTTCTTTATGTAACTAGTTCATTGTTTCCAGTTGCGAAAAGAAAACAAACAAAACTATTTTGATTTTAAAATCAATATGTACCAACGATAACTTGACCCCACAAACTCAGAAACAAATGTGTTTTTCAAAATTTAAAAGAACACGTATATTTTTATTGGAGGAATTTTTATAATAAATTCATACTCAGAAATTCAACCTCTTGGAGCTCGGCAGCAACCCCTATTTTTTTTTATAGCAATTATGATTATATGTACAAATATTACTTCATTTAAAAGGTAATTTTATTTAGAATTCAACAATATAACTATTATTAGTAGCGTTGATTTTGATTTTAAAGCCATCCAACAGGATAAAAAATTGTCACATACTGTAAAGTGCGACAATTGGAAGCTAGTTAGTACCTTATTCTCTAAAATACCAGAATAGCTTAAAATAGGATAAAATAAATGTTTAAATTAACAGTGATTGGGCGAATACATTCAGTCAAAAAGAGTCTCACCAAATTTCAACACTGGCCGAAAATATCTAATATTGCAGACGTAAAATTAAATATTATTTAAAAAAACTAGTTAAATTAAAATCTGATGTGTCCAACACATGACTTTCCTATCTAGTCATTATAGGCTTTTCTTCCAATTTTTATATTACGGTCCATTTTAGAAAAATCATGTAAGAAACAAAAATTATAGAGATCGATATCGCAAACAACTTTTAGTTTAACAATTTTCTAAAAAA